TCATACAAGATTTCAGTACCCCTCACTCGTCTGACGAGGAAGGGGTGGATTTCCGGTAGGGCCCTGAGCAGCAGAGGGGGTTTGAGACCCTCTGATAGCGTTTGTGCGAGTTTCCAGTATTGACTCTTCTGGAAGGAGACGAGGATTTTGTGGTGTTCTGCGATGCATCCATCATGGGACTGGGAGCGGTCCTCATGTAGAGAGGATGGGTGATAGCTTACGTATCGTGGCAGCTGAAGTCGCATGAGACGAGATACCCTACTCATGATCTGCGGGGCGATGGTATTCGCTCTCAAGATCTAGAGACATTATCTCTATGGGGTCCGTTGTACAATATACATGGATCATAAAAACCTGAGATACATCATGGATCAGCCGAACCTAAACATGAGTCAGCGCAGCCGAACCTAAACATGAGTCATGGATCTAGAGACATTATCTCTATGGGGTCCTTTACCACCCAAGTAAAGTGAACGTGGTGATGGACGCTCTGAGCCGCAAGTCAACTGGATCTTTCACTCCAACAATATCAGTGGATTCTCCACTCGTGGTTTTGATTAGAGAAGTTCAAGCTGAGGGTATGCATCAGGAGAATTAGAAGCTTGAGAAGATTTGGGGTGAGAACACCCGGTTTATAGGATAGTCGGGGACTATTGACTCGTTATGGTCGGGTCTAGGTTCCAATGCTAGGTGGGGTCAGACAGACAATATTGGAGGAGGCTCATAAGTCTCGCTTCTCTATTCACCCGGGGGGCACCAAAATGTACTGGGATTTGCATTTGAGTTATTGGTGGCCAGGCATGAAGAAAGAGATTGCGTGGTACGTTGAGAGGTGCTTGACCTGCCGAGATGGTCAAGGCTGAGAATCAGAGGTCACATGGTCAGTTACATGGCATAGAGGTTCCCATATGGAAGTGGGAACAGATCACGATGGATTTTTATCACGAAGCTGTCGGGGACGGCAAAGGGCTTTGACGCTATTTAGGTCATCGTTGATCAATTAACCAAGAACGCCCACTTCTTAGCGATACGGGAGAGTTCATCGGCCGAGAAGCTGGTCGACTTATATATCCGGGAGATCGTTTCTCTCCATAGGATACTGGTCTCTATTGTTTCAGATCGTGACGTTCAGTTCACCTTTCGTTTCTGGCAGAAGTTCCATGAGGAACTGGGCACTCGTCTGCACTTCAGTACATCTTACCATCCACAGACAGATGGCCAGAGTGAGAGGACCATACAGACTCTCGAGGATATGTTGAGAGCCTATGTCATTGGCTTCGGTGGGATCTGGGATTCCTACCTACCTATGACAGAGTTCTCCTACAAAAACAAATTTCATTACAGCATTGGCGCTCTGCTTTATGAGCTATTGTATGTACGGAGATACCGCACCCCATTCTGTTAGGGGGAGGTCGGCCACATGGTAATGGGTCAGACCAAGGTGGTCCTGCAAACTACCAAGAGGATTCGACAGATCAGACAGTGGCTGCAAACCGCACAGAGTCGGCAAAAGAGTTACGTCGATAGACACCGCTCTGAGTTGGATTTTCAAGTCGGTGACATGGTGCTCCTAAAGTTCTCGCCCTGGAAGGGTGTGATCCGCTTCAGGAAGAGGGGGAAATTGGGTCCCCGGTATATCGTACTGTTTAGGATCATTGCCGGGGTTGGCAAGGTGTTATATAGAATAGAGCTACCAGAGGAGCTTAGTCAGATCCATAACAATTTCCATGTGTCGCAGTTGCGAAAGTGCATATTAGAAGAGGCGACAGTAGTGTCCTTGGAGGATATACAGGTCGGCGAGCATCTGAATTACATAGAGAGGCCAGTAGCCGTACTGGAGAGGAAAGTGAAGGTTCTACAAAACACGGAGGTGCCTTTGGTGAAGGTACAATGGGAGCACCAAAGAGGGTCTGAGTGGACTTGGGAGTCGGGGGCTGAGATGCGGGAGCACTATCCGGAGTTATGCATCGCAGTGAACTTCAAGGATGAAGTCTAGTTCAAGTAGGGGAGAATTGTAATGCCCTAACTCTCAGGTATAGACTTTACAGTTATATATTTTCATTTTGAAAGGTCGACTCGACAAGTTGGATCCCCTGACTCGTCGAGTAGGAACTGATTTGGTCGTATAACTTAAGTGACCAACTCAAGAAGTCGGAGGATACAACTCGACGAGTTGGAGCTGGCAGATGAAACCCTAATCTACAGGGTCTAGCACCCTATTTAAAGGATCATTCGCCTCCCCTCGCCATCCCCTAGAGCTTTGAAACCCTAATTCGCATGTGCTCTCCATTTTTTGTGATTTTCAAGCTTGCAAGGTGATTTGGAAAAAGGATTGAAGTATAAGAGGATTGGAGCATACAGGAGCTGGTGGATCTAACTCTTCTGCTTATTGGCATCATTTTGAAGGTAACAAGTCGTTACCTTGACTTTACTCCTTTTAAATCTCTTCATGTTTAAGATTAGGGCTTTTCTAACATGTATGTTAACCATTCTCGGGTATGGGCTAGGATTTGAAGTTGCAACTTCAGATATGAACTTATCTTGCTCTTTATAGCTATAAAGTCTCTAGCTTTAGCAAATATGAGCCTTCCTTTTTGAGTTAAACCCTATTATAAGGTTGGATTTGGTATTCTAAGCCTTTAGAGACTTGCATGCACGTAAAGTTTGCAACTTTATGTGATAAACATGCCCTGGGAAGCTTGATCTGCAATATGGAGCTTTGGGGTGGCTTAAAAATCATCTGAATGGAGGAAGGACTGAAGGGACTCGACGAGTTACATGGTCAACTCGGCGAGTGTGATGAAGATTAGCCTTGAGGGTTTCCGCATGAACTCGGCGAGTCAGCAAGATGACTCGACGAGTCAGTTAGGGTTTTCTCGACTTTTGGACACGCAGGGACTCGACGAGTTGTCTGGAAACTCGACGAGTCAACTGGGGATTTCACAACTTCTCGAGTACTGGAAGGACTCGACGAGTCAGAGAGCTGCACTCGACGAGTAGGGTCAACCTTAACTGTTGACTTTGACTTTGACTAAAGGTTGACTGGTTTGACTTCTGAGGGTATTTTGGTATATTGGAAATTTATGGAATGGTTTCATGGTGACTATAGGTGTTAGAGCCTGTGGTTGTGATTCGAGAGTTTGAGCTTGCCACTTCAATTCAACGTTTGCGAGGTGAGTTTTCCTCAATATACTCAAGGGTCGAAGGCACCAAGGCTGATATGTTATGCTAGTATGATATGTTAGGTCGGTATCCTGGTAGATAGGATGATATATGCTATTATGATCTGTTAGATCGGTATCATGGTATGTTGATATGATCTGTTAGATCGGTGTTATCTATCTATAGACTGTTATGTGATTATTTGTTATATGTGTACATGTTTGATTGGTGGTTAAGGCTTATCTGCTTTGTGCGAAAGCCAATAGACCTGGGCATTCCAACTCGATGGTTGTGGGTCGTGAGTATTCCATCCCAAGGATGATTGGACTCGTAGTATGTAGGCATTCCAACCTGTTGGTTATGGGTCTGGGGTATTCCATCCTGAGGATGATTGGACCCATAGTATGTTGGCATTCCAACCGGATGGTTGAGGGCCTGGGATATTCCAACCCGATGGTTGATTGAACCCATAGTATGTTGTTTTTGATTCTGTATGCTATTATATGTATGGGTATTCTGGGGGAACTCACTAAGCTTTGGGCTTACAGTTTCAGTTTTATTTTAAGTACATCAGATGATCGCGGGAAGGCAAAGGCTTGATCGTACAACTCCTCACATTTATGACTTTTGTTTCTGGGATACTCTGATCTTATACTATTTTGAAAACAAGTTTTGTAATGTTTAATGGTTTTGAAATGTTTTAAAAAGTTTAAATTTGGCATGATTTTATGGGTGTTACATTAACATCTTTATTTAAGTACATATTTACTTAGATGTTTGTATACATTACATGTTTACTTAGATGTTTGCACAAGTTCATTATATATCAAACTTTAGTCATGATACATCAATGTTACATTAACTCAAACACATGCTTTAGTTATAATATGCCCAACTTTCATTGCACATAAAACTTCATGAACTACATGATTTACTCAAAATACATCAAATAGGATACAAAGAACACATCAAACTTTCAAAACTACATCTTTAACATACAAGAAAAACAACACAAACAATGCAACTTTATAAGTAAACAACTTCCACTTGACTTTGTCCAGTTCCCGTCTGAAAACCAAATCAGAGTTTTTCTCTTCTTCCAACTTCTTCCTGTATATACTAATTTCGTTTTTCAAATTTCCAAGCTTCAATGTTAGGTTGTAGATTTGTCCCAAATCACTGTTCTTCTCTACTGCCTGGTCATCATCTTTCAACCATTCCTAGAATTATATTTTGGAGTTCTTGCACTCTTCAAAAAAAGGTTAAATTGAAGAGAAGATGAAGAAGCAGATTCAGTTAGGGATGATTAAAAAAACATATTTACCAATGAGTTTTGACAAACTCGATTTTTTTTTTCTGGGATTGTCGGGTGTTCTTGAAATCTTCACACGTGATGGCATGTCACACTTACATGGATAGTCAACTTGCAACTCGACATTGCGTTTGGAAGAGGCAGAAGAAGAAGCCATAGTCGATTTTGTCGATCTAGGACTTTAGCGTACAAACGAACCATATAACACCCTTTATATAATAAACAGATGTATACTATGCCATATATTATCTTGTGTATGCCACCAAACCTTAATTTAGCCAAACAGATATTAACCGAAAATATTGATGTAATTTGAACAATTAAAACAAATTAGTTTCTTTTATATGTAAAAAAAAGGATTGTATATGTGAACAAAATAAGAGGCTACTTACCTCCTAAGTCATTTTGCACGGAAGTTCAACCTCTTCAAATTTCAAAGTTATATTTACAATCATCTAATCGGTGGGGGAAACATAAGATCTCCCTTGCTTCAGCTTCTGCGAGCATGAAGTGATATGCTGTAGCAATGGCGTTTAAAATCCTTACCAGAACCCTCGTTCTACCAAAATCCATCAAACAAATCCCAAGTCAAATCCCTAATTTTTCTACATCAATCTGCAGCAACACGACTCCTCTTTCAAATCTTTTCGAAAGGTACGGTTTCCCACCTTCTAATCTTCATACGTTTTTCGCAAAGAACCGATTTTTGCTCGATTCCAACGTTCCGAATGTCGAAATGTCCTTGAAAATCATATCATCCTTCTCTTCTTCCAAGAATTTTGTTGTCTCCATGGTAAATAACTGTCCTAGGGTTTTAGAACTCGATTTTCTCAAGAAATGGGAAATGGGTATTTCCAAATTAGGGTTTTCAGACAACAGTAGTCTGACAATGAACATCCTTGAAGTTTCCAGGAAATTCGATTTATACCCAGATGATGTTTTACAATGTATGGAGTGTTTGCGGGGTTTTCGGTTTACCCCTGCTACCATAACTAGGATTTTAGAGGAACTTCCAGTGATAATAACCATGAACGAAGAAAATATTTGGGGTAAAATCGAATTCTTATTAGGAATTGGAATCCACAGGAGTAAAATAGACTCCATAATCCAAACTTATCCAGGTATTTTAGGATTTGGGGTGGAGAACAAGTTGAAGCCTTTAATCTCCGAGTTTATTGAAATGGGGTTTAAACCTAATGAGATTAGAGAAGAAATCATGAGAAACCCCAAAATCCTTCAATCAGAAGTGGGAGAGCTTTCGAAATGTCTGAGAATGTTAAACAGTTTAAAATGTAGAGTCCCAATTAAAGAAAAAATCTTTAGCAACGGTGTATTTAGGGCGTCATATAAAGTTAAGTTAAGAATCGATTGCTTACACAAACACGGGTTAATATATAAAGATGCATTCAGCATATTATGGAGAGAGCCAAGGGTGATATTATACGAATTAGATGAGATCAATAAAAAGATCGAGTTTTTGATAAATACGATGAAGTTTGATGTTGTTTGTTTGGTTGAGGTTCCGGAGTATTTGGGGGTAAATTTTGAGAAACAGATTGTGCCTCGTTATAATGTGATTGAGCATTTGAGATTGAGAGGTGGAATTGGCGATGAAGTAGGATTGAGGAGTTTGGTTAAGTTTAGTAGGTTAAGATTTTATAATCTTTATGTGAAGCCTTATCCAGAATGTGAGAGGATTTATGGGAGGTTTGTGGATGTTAAGGTTAGGAAGGGATGTCCGGAAGGAATGTGGAAGCTTTTTACACCTCGGAATCAGAAGAAGATTTGAAGAACATGAAGTCGTTTATGGCACAACTGCGATAATAGAGAAAATCATTTGATTTTGCTGATTTATGTCTTTTGCACATGTCGATTATAGACTGTGAAAATCTGTGTCTGCTATTTGTTGAGAATGTCATGTTAAAAATGTTGAAGCTATAAAAACTAAATTTGCCCAAATAAAAGAGGTTGTAATAAATTATTTGGAGTAATTATTGATGGAAAAATGTATATGAATGCTCAATTTGTGGTAAACTGTGAACTTTCAGGTTTTGAATGTATTTCAAGTTTTGTATCACATGAAATATTATATAGAATTGCAAATAATATTTCTTGTAGAAAAGAAAAACATTTTGATGAGATTCTGAATAGAAAGAGAACAATGTTCTATAAAACATAAAACAGGTGAGGCATTCTGATTTTTTGGGGATGGGTCAAAATCAATTTCTTTGTTTGATAAAAAAAATTGTGTTTGAATCTTGAATCCGCATTAACAATTGTTGAAGAAATCAATATTTATGGAAATTATTTGTTCACGAATTATGCAATGAGAAATTAAATATTCTTATATTTTTTTTTTATTTCTATTATTTTTCTATCTATGTGAAATGCCGAAATGGTAACAAGTATTGTACTTTGATAAAATTAATAATAATTAAGAAAAAAAAAAATAGAACATTTTATTTCTCAATATATCTTGCGGCATGAGGCGCAAGCTTTTTGAAAAAAAAAATGATATGATTTCCAGATGTGTTTTATTTGAATATAGAATCATCTTGCTTGTATCACTTAAAAAGCTCCCGTAGAAATAAATTTATCGAAATTAAAATTGTCCAAGCATATACTATGACTCAAAAAAATCGAATGAGTTAACAGTTTTGAATATTGAAAAGGGATAATGATTTGAGAGGGTAACAAACTTTAAATATTATTCCTATTTAATCATTGAATTTTTTTGTACCTATTCATCCATGAATTATTTGAAATTGTTTATATTTTATTTTTAAAACCGATTATAAATAAGGGTTTAGGTCATTTTTGGTCACTTAATTTTTGGTTTTGTGCTCATTCGGTCACTTAACCATTTTTAAATTTTAAAAAATCATCAAACTTTTGATTTTATGTTCATTTAGTCACTTAACTTTTAGATTTGTGCTCATTTAATCACCTAACTTTTAAAATTGTGCTCATTTAGTCACTAAACTTTTAAGAAAATTTAAAAGTTTAGTGACTAAATGAACACAATTTTAAAAGTTAGGTGACTAAATGTGATCAAAACAAATGTTAAGTGACTAAATTAGCACAAAGCTAAAAGTTTGATGATCTTTTAAAATTTAAAAAGAGTTAAGTGACTAAATGAGTACAAAACCAAAAGTTAAGTGACCAAAAATGACCTAAACCCTTATAAATAATTATAAGGGTAAAATATGAACAATTTTAAACAATTAAGGGATAAATCAAATATGAAAAAATTTAATGACTAAATATGAACAAAGTTGAAATATGTTACCCTTTCAAGTCATTATCTCATAAATAGTTCTAAATGTTATTAAGAATGAGTACAAACCGAATATGAAGGTCACAAAAATGAAGATGTAGGAATCATGTGATATACATTTATTGTGTAAGGTACTAGAAACAAAACATAGAAATATAATAAAATCGACTTTAATCACATAAAAATTGAAGAAACAAAGATTGTGATGGTTTTAGAAATATACTTAGGACATAGGAGTCGAGACGGTCGTTGTATGTCGTGCGAAAACGAGAGAACATATGATAAAGAATCGTGAAAATTGTGCAGTGTTAAATTTGAATGAGGCTTTTCTTCTTATAAGGATACGAACTTTGATTAGAGAGTATAGATACATAAGATCAAGGTCGTGAAATAGTACATGAGTAGTCTAGGTGTTATTTGTCTTTACATTGTTTGTGCATTTTGCCTAGTTTTTACTGTTTTTACTTTCAACTTGTTTTGTCATGCTTTTCTTCCTCATTATTACTCGTATCTACATTTTTTATTTGTATATTGGTTCTATATATACATCCTCAAATAGTTCATATTTAATCACTGAACTTTTTTGTTGTGCTTGATTTAGCCATTAATTATTTGAAATGTTTACATTTTACCTTAATGACCGGTTGTAATTAGCAACTAAATGTAAACAAAGTTGAATGTTCGTTACCCTCTTAAATGATTATCACTATTGAAAATCAGTTTTGAGGACTATCATAAAGTAATTGATGTGCTTTTTGAAAGAATACGCAGACACACCATCTAAAATGACTTTTGAAAGTTTTTTATTTATTATTATTATTATTATTATTTGCATTAATATGGACCTTATTATTATATTTTTGAACGATAAATATAATCTAATCTTCAAACTACTTGTTAAATATGTGTTTGGTATATCGGTGAACATTTGGACGTCCAGACCGACCAAACTGAACCTGGTAAGCCTCAACTGGTCCAATCCAAGATCCACAAATTTCTGCAAAACCGATCCGGTCCAAAAGGCTAAACCTAGACCTAGTAAACCTCAACAAGTCTAGTCCATGATCCACCAGTTTCTGCAAAACCAACCCGACCCAAGAGTCAGTCCGATCCAATTCGGTCCAAGAGCTCACTCTAAACCCAAGAACCGAGAACCAGACTGAGACCTGGACCTAAACCTGGTAAGCCTCAATAGGTCCGGTCCAAGGTCCATCAATTTCTGCAAAACCGGTCAGATTCAAGAGATGGTCTAGTCCGGTCCAAACGTTCACCCTACGTTCAAAAAGAAAGAGTAGGAACCGATAAGCCTCAACAAATCTGATCAAATGTCCATCAATTTCTACATAACTGATCTGATCCAAGAGTTGGTCCGGTCCGATCCAAATGCTTGCCCCTAGTTTGGTATATTGTACGGTATTAACATATATGCATCATCTTTCATCTTGCTCCAAACATTAACAAGCAAATGAAGAGCCTAACATTTCACACACCTTACTAGTACAAAACTAGTTTAAGTGGTAGTGCAAGATTATACTCTGAATCTCATTTAGAATGTACAAACCCAATATCCAAAATGTATGATATCAAAATCACCAACAACATAAGCATTTTCTATTTGAATTTATATTTTTTTATCCAATGCCATCTCAATTCTCACATGTCTCATGGACCATTAGATGAAAATGCAAAACACAATATTATGACTTGATAAAAGTAAATAAAGTAAAAATATGAGCATTGAACCCAATAAACTATATACCTCAAGACAAATGAAATCTAAAATAGGTTACAATTGTGTATTAGGACAAAACTACATTACCTATAATGAACCAAAATTAAAACATGTTGCTATTATGCATGAAAAGTATGTTAGACTAAAACTAGAATCCACCTAAATGGATACACATTTAACTCAAATGGAATGTAAAATGAATACAAAAGAACAATGAAAAAGAAAATGTGAATATTATTGAATAGATAATTAGATATGTTCATTGCCATTTTTGAAAAATTATGAAAACCGATAGCCATATATTACAATTCTTAAAAAAAAGTCGAAATCTGCCACGTTTTTTTAAACCACACCCAAATCCAAACAGATAGCAAACAAATACTCGATTCTCATATTTTACAACAACAAAAAAATATCACTTCTTACCATCACCAAACAGGTATCCCAAGGAAGACCCTCCACCTGGAGCAGCATGAACCTTAGTCGAAGGACGATCCTGTAAATTCACACATTACAATAAATCAACAACATGTTACATTCTTGAGATTTGTATGATAGTGTTTATAGAGATGAGATGTGTGGCACAAAGTAAAGTTTTCATAAGATAAAAGATACCGTGATGAAGTTGCCAGTATTCTGCCCATCAGCTCGGATGTAGTTGTTAAGCTTGCTGCTTTGGATACCAGCTGGAATCTGTTTTGTAATATCTGGTGGTGTTATAGGGGCGGCAGTTTTAGGAGGCGGAGGTGGCTCAGTGGCAGCAACATGAACGTCTGTTGGAGGAGACTCTGCATTGGGCTTTGGCTCACCTCCACTTCCAAAAAGGTAGTCCAGTGAACTCTGCCCTCCACCACTGCTCACACCACGACCCATGATCTCTGCTTTCAAGTTTTGTAAGATCGCAATTCAGAAATCAACAACCACCAATGTGCTTAGCATATAGTTCAAATGTCAGACCAGAATCAATGGTTGCTAAGCATGTAACTTTGGCAATCATGTCACAAATTCGATGGATAGCTTCTTCAACTAAATCAAAGTATCGTTGAAATTATTGAATCGATGCAAAAATTATAGAGGATCTATTCGCGAATAAACAGAATCGAAAAGCAATTGCTAATACTAACACGTATCAGCATCATAAGCCTGCGAAAACGAGATTATTGACATATGCATGACAAATTTGACTACAATATTTGTAACGCGATCACTTTTGTTCCGATTCTAAGGGTATAAATGGAGATAAACATGAATCACACGCTAAAAATGCCAGATCTGACATCCACGCATGAATTACAGCTTGAAAATTACGCAGAGAAAATGCTGAGCAATGAGTCGATACAAACACAAATGGCAGATTTCTCGGCAGTTCTTTAGTTAACTAACAAAAATATCGATTGTCACCAAAAAAACGAGCAGCAAAATCGGAATTGAAAAGTAGAGGGATAGAGAGACAATGGCACGTACCTGGAGTGTTGTTCTGGGATCAGATCTGGAGCAGACCGAAGATAGAGGGGAGAATCGGTTCCCAAACACCAAAATTCTTCCGAATAAATAATGTCATTTTAAATTGCAAAACTAAAAGTGATAGTAAAATTAAAATAATAAATAAATAAAAACAGAACTAAATTACATAAATGGTCCTTGAGGTTTCGGTTGTGTGTTTGATCGTACAGACCAAGATTTATTTTGTTTTAGTTTTGATCCAATAAAAATACCAATTCTCCTTATTTAATTTTTTTTTTCTATTATCAATTTGTTATTTGTTATGTATTGCCCAGGATCGTCAATTCTTCACCATCATATTGTCTCTCCGATACCCAAACTCATATTTTGTTTATCTATTCTATTTCAATGATAGAAGAGACCAACTTATAGGTCTCTTGAAACTTATATAATGTTTCCACATTATCGACAAACTTTGATATTTTTCATGTCTCTTTTCCGTACACTCAAGCGTGACTTCCTCTCCCATCATCGATTCATAATTGTCACCTTCGCATATTCACTATCATCTTTGATAATTCACCGTTTTCTTCACTCAAAATTCTCGTGATTACATAAGGTTTCTTTAATGTAAATTTTTTCTATGGTTGATTCATTATTTGAAATCTTCATGATGAAGGCTTATTTAATGAATGAAATAATAAATAATATATATATATATATATATATATATATATATATATATATATAATATATATATAAACTATAAGAATAAATACATATTGGCATAACATTTATTTCAGTTATGTATTATTGACTACTTTTTAAACAAAGCCAAACCATATGAATTATTTGAGTTAAGAAAAAAAAAAAAAAGACAAAATTGCAAGATTGATCTTTGTGGTATTCAAAAATCTTTGGATAGGGTCCAAAAAGTTTCCAACTCGAATAAGAGGTCGAATATCAAAGTTTTTTTTTTTGGGTTTTTGGTCCCTAATACACTTGAAAAGTCAATTTTACCCTCTTCATTTTTTTTTTAATTTTACTTATTTATTTTGGTAATTAAATAATAAAAAATAAAAATAAATTATCTTTCTCTCTCTCTCTCACACACACACACACACAATAAATAGAAAAGTCAAACCCCCTACCCATTTATTCTTCTTCTTCTTCTTCTTCCCCGATATAGATTTGATGAACCCAATTATTTTGTGAATGTGAAGACTTCATCTTTATTCATGTTTGCTGGAACCCTAATTTTTCCCATTACTTTTCACGCGGTTTTTATTAGATGATTCTTACAATCAATACCACCAATAATAGATCCATGAACTTACCATCACCATTACTTCATTACTCCTACCACCATCAACAATGCGTTATTCTTGTATGGATTCCGACCAGCTCCACCACATCTTCTAGATGTTTGACAAAAATGAAGATTCCAGAATCATCAAACAAAAATGAAGATTCCGTTGAAATCGAAATCCGATTTTGACTTTTCAGTCAAACATGGTTCTTCTAGTTGGGAACTCTTTTCATGTTGTTGTAACAGATTTGATGGAGGGGAATAAGTTGTTGGATTAGGTGTCTAAGTCCATAACTATAATTTGTATGTACTTGACCCGAGAGTAGCATGGTCTATTTGGTTTGCGTTCACCAAAACAATCTGATAAGATGGATATTTGAGAAAGAGGCTATTTATGATTTACTAATATATTATAAGTATAATATATTAATTGAGAAATCATAATATTTAATTAGTATTGATCAAAAATTAATTTGGAATTAATTTAGTGATAAAAAAAGACTAACCAAATTAACGGGGACTGATTATTTAAATCAGTGATACATATATATATATATATATATATATATATATATATATATATATATATATATATATATATATATATATATTGTTTGGGCTATTAATCCATGATGGGCTAAGTTTATGTAAGTATCCAAGAAGAGTTAGCCCACATGAGATATCGATCATAACTTAAGTGTATGAATTAGGGTTTACCCATGACTCTTGGAATCCTACACTATATATGTGTTATCCCTTAGCCAAAATCGATAGCCCTATGCAACAACCCAATTTTTCAAAAGAAAATTTTCATTTTTGATAACCTAAAATACATTTCTATAAACCATGAAATCCAAGTACAATTGTTTTCAAAGCTCATATTAATTACAATTTTATTTCAAAACATCAAAGTGTCCCATAAAATGTATGAGAGAGTGTACACCGAGCCATCAAGCCTTTCCCTTGCCCTTGGGCTCAGAAGTACCTGAAACAAATCCATAAACTGTAAGCTAATGCTTAGTGAGTTCCCAAGAGCATACCGCACATACAATCCACGTAACACATATCATATTAGCCATAAAAGCTACACATATTACATAAGCCATGCCTACAAAAAATAAGGATGTTGTGGGATCCTCCCAAGGTCTTACTCCAGGATGCCATGGGCTCCCACACATGATCTTATACCTACGTGGCATGGGATCCTCCCATGGTCTTTAACTGGAAAGTCATGGGCTCCCCCATGGTCTTTACTTGAAAAGCCATGGGCTCCCTCACATGGTCTTACATTCAAATGTCATGGGCTCCCCCCGTGTTCTTCCCTGTAAGTAACACATACAAATAGTAAAGCACTAACATAACTAACTATCGTAACACGTATCTACAAAATCAACAATTATGCCACATATCACACATAATGGGTCGGCCTTAGTGCCTTCGACCTATTGGTATGGTGAGCAGACTCACCTCTCAAGAATGCTTAGCTGGCAAGATAAGATTCAATAAGTCCCAACGCGCAGCTCCAACTCAACTTCCTAAAAGCATCATAAGATTAACTTTTCATAATCCCATAATTACTCTCAAAGTCAACTCTAGTCAACAAAGGTAAAAGTCAATGTCAACATTCCATGTTGACCCCAACTCGTCAAGTGCATCTAGCAACTTGTCGAGTTCCTCTAGAGTCCAGAAACCTGAACAAACCCTAGTCAACTCGCCGAGTTGCTTCATTAACTCGACGAGTTCACTTGCTATCCAGAAAGATGGGGAAACCCAATCCAAATCGTCGATTCGCTAAGGTAACTCGTCGAGTCCCCCTCCCTGTTTGCTTATTATGATGATTCATCGAATGCAGGGACTCCATGGCTTAAATCTGAAACCCTAAGGTGTCCAGAGGGATAAAGTTTCCAACTTTACCCTCTATAACCACACCAAATGCTCTAAGGTCCTTATCCAAGGTTGGAAAGCTCAAAAGTATTGACATGCATTCCCAAAACTTTAGGGATCTGGAATCCCTCCTTTCCAAAGGATTTTCTAGTCCTCAAAACGTTCCAAATATGGAGGCTTTATGGGCATGCATGTCCAATGCATGCTTTAGGTCAAAATGGCCAAAAATGGGAAATATGCTCTAAAAACTCTTACACGGCATCCTTGCTTGATCAAAAGTTAGATCTATCCCACCTTGGGACTATTTTTCCCTGGAGATCCATAAAGTTGCAAACTTTATGAACCCTATGCATGCAATCAATAGGAATGATAGAAAATGAAGAGTAAACTCAAGATCTAGCCATATTATAAGATAAAGATCGAATCTTGAAGACTTACCACAGTCCACAAGATAGTCAAGTTCAAGAATGGTGGTTACGACATAATTTCATATCGAATCCGGATTAGGATCAGGAGCTGGCGGTCAGGGCGGGCCAACATTATCAGAGACCATTGTTCAGATAAGATCATATGAGTTAAATACTAGGATTCGGGGGATCCTGAATGATGAGATTGTTGCACTAGTCTGAGACGGTTGTCGTTACAGCCTTCACTACCCTATCAGCTGAAGGTGGTGGGGCTGGTTGGGCTTTTCAGTATCAGGACTTCAATAACATGAAGTCCCCGACTTTCGATGGAGTATATGACCCGATCATATCCATGAGGTGGCTATCTGACGTTGAGGGATGCTTTTTCATGTGTTCATGCCCTGCTGACCAGAGGGCCAGGTGTGCTCTAAACTTTTTGAGGTCCGGAGCGAAGGATTGGTGGAGACTTGTTACGAGGTTGTACTCTGATGACCAGAGATATGTGGTATCATGGGATCAATTTAGGGAGATGTTTCGCACTTGCTACATTCCTTGGATTAAGCACTAGAGGTTGGCTTAGGAATTTTTAGATTTGAGATAAGGATTGGAGTCAGTGACCGAGATCACCCAGATGTTTACTAAGAGGGTGATGTTTTGCCCTGAGTTTGCTTCTGAGCAGGCTCATATGACCCATTATCTGAGTATGCTCAAGACAGATATCAGACAATTTATTTCTACTAAGAGGTGTGATACTTTGTTGGAGCTACAGGAGGCTGCTAGACGGTGTGAGCTTGAGATTGAGCTTCAGTTGAGGGAGCAGAGGCAGGCCTCGACATAGTCGCAACCTGCGCCAAAGCGTTTTAAGACCGCTAATATTAGGTATGGGAACCGGAAGGGTCACACTTGTGGTAAGTGCGACAAGGCGCACGAGGGTGCTTGTCAGTCATCATCTGGGTGCCACAATTGTGGTCGACAGGGCACATGGCAAGGGATTTCCGCCAGCAGGATCCAACACTCAGGTCCAGGATTTGCTATCATTGCGACCAGGTTCGCCATGTGAAGGCCAACTGCCCATTGTTCGCCGCCAAGCCGACGCAGGCTCCAATGCCAGCTACATTGAGGATCACTGTCGGGAGTCACGGCAGGGTGGAGCCCCTAAGGGCTCGAGGTCACGCTTTCCAGGTCACTGCAAGGAGGCAATGGGCAACACCAGATGTGGTAACTGGTATATTTCTATCCTTCACCTCGTTGTCTGTGATTGTATTGTGCTCATATGTGTGTACCTCTGTTAGGTACGTTCCTAGTGAACTCTTTGCCTGCTTTAGTGTTGTTTGACTTGGGTGCGAGTCAGTCTTCTGTTTCTCAATCCTTCAGTAGTGAGTTTGCCTTATCCATGAGGGAGTTGGAGTTCATGTAGCGAGTTTCTATCGCCAACGAAAATGGGGTTTCTACTTTTTCAGTTTATTAGGGATGTGTTCTAGAGATCTTTGGGATCTCCTTCCCGATCGATTTGATTTTGATTCCTATGAGGGATGTCTGTGTGATCGTGGGTATGGATTGACGGAGTCGTTTTGATGTCATGATCGACTGCGAGGGTCAGCATGTTGTGGTTCGAACCCCAATTGGGGGAGAACTGGTTATCTATGGAGAGGGCACTAGATTGGGTTCAGGGTTTTGTTCGGCAGCCAGGGCTCGACAGTATATTCAACATGGATGTCCGGGTTATTTGGCGTATGTAGTGGATGATGTGTGTAGAATGAACTAGTTTTAATCCTACTAACTTAGACACATAAACAAACACACGAAAGGCAGTGTACCTATCGATTAGCAGCTTAGTTTAGGTAAGTAGGGTATCGAACACATGGAACTGTAAACAATTAAGATTATTTCTAATATCATCTAAATAAAACAACTAAAAAGAAGGATTTTTCTCTAGTTTTACAAGACTAGAAACTTAAGCAACTACTTAAACTCTTTAACAAAGGACAATTAACAACTAAGGATAAACAAAAGACAACTAGATTCAATAATGGATGAGACTTCTGTTTAGGTTTGAATCATTTATTTCTATGGTTGATTTTATGGCAAGTACAATGGATTAATTGGCTTTGGCTACCGATTAGTGTGATTAGGTTCATGTTTGCTATTACTAATCCTTAGAAAACAAATTAATTCAAGAAGTGATCAAGTGATTAAACTAATAGATTTCCTAGTTTATTGATTCGGGTTGAGTAAGACTTGTAATGAGCTAATCAAATATGCTAATTTAATTAACTCCTTGTTGATGGTTCGTCACACAAGCTCACACATTAACGTACCTATTTTCTAGTTAACCCTAGTTTCACGTTCGTTACTCCTAGGCATATAACAATGTTTTCACATAAATCACATGAGACTAGCAACTAAGAGATGTTCATGCAACTTAATTACTGGTTAATTAACAAAAAATAGTTGTAATTAACACATAAGGTTCTTTAACAAGCTTAACAAAACAAAATCACCAAATTAAATTAATCCAATCATAAAATTAAACCATATTCATAAAATCATCTATCCTAAACAGAAGTTATGAGTTTTTAGCTCACATCTACATCAAATAACAAACTAAAAACATAATCTAATGATTGAAACATGGTTCATGCAAAAGATTAAGATAAAAGTAATGTGTTATTTCCTTTGATCTTCTTCCAAATTGATATCTAAGTTGAAATCTCGAAAACCACAACTTCTAAGAACCCTTCTGGTC